CACTGATGCCACATCCAGTCTCTTCTTAAAAACCTCCAGGGATGGAGAATCCACCACTTCCCTGGGCAGCCCATTCCAATGGCTGAGCACCCTCTCTGCAAAGAAATTCTTCCTAATATCCAACCTAAACCTCCCCTGGCACAGCTCAAGACCCAGCCCTCTTGTCTTGCTGATGGTTGCCTGGGAAAAGAGCCCAACCCCCCCATGGCTCCCCCCTCCTGTCAGGGAGTTGCAGAGAGTGAGGAGGTCTCCCCTGAGCCTCCTCTTCTCCAGGCTGAACAGCCCCAGCTCCTTCAGCCTCTCCTCACAGCACTTGTGCTCCAGTCCCTTCCCCAGCCTCGTTGCTCTCCTCTGGACCTGCTCCAGTCCCTCCATGTCCTTCCTGAGCTGAGGGCCCAGAACTGGACACAGCACTGCAGGTGTGAAGCAGTGCCTGCCCTAACTCCTTCAGCCTGGAGGTGGGGATCTGCTCAGGCATCTCGTCCTCACAGCCCCGGGGGTGCAGATGTCAGCAGGAAAGTCTCTTCAACAGAGAGACCTGGTCTTGTCTGCAAGCACCACCTTCTCCCTCCTCCTTAGGGCACCGGTGAAGTCACTGTTTCATCACCATCAGGGCAGCCCACGTGGCTGCAGTGGGCAGTGACATCATGTCATGTGCCTGGGTGAGATGTTGTGAGAACAGGGAAAAGGTTTCTCTAATTAATGCTAATCGTAGTACGGACTGGAGGTTTGTGTGCCACATTCCTGTTAGAAGGAAAGCCAGGGATGCTGGGGCACTGGGAGCTGCCAAATTTAGAGAAATACCAATTTAAAAGGCGAGGTCCAGGGTGGAATGTTCATACTTTTTTCTTTCCTACTCAGAATAAAGGTTGTCAGTGAAATCAGCGGCAAAAATGTTGATTGTGGTGTCAACCCTTAAAACTGGTGTTCTGGGAGGAGGGCAGGCAGACGGGAATGTGCTCTCTGGGCCAGTGTCAGCAAGTCCAGACCACTGCCAGAGCCACTCCTTTATTCTGCCCCTGTTTCAGTGCACTAAACTGGGGAGGTGCCTTGGAAACTCCTCCATTAATCACTTCACCGACTGGTTAGACACAAATAAAAAGCAGCTGAGCTTCCATGAAGGTGAGAGAGAAACACCAACTGATTTTTGCTAAGATTAGGATCTTCCAAGAGAAGATTTCAACCCCAAAATAGAACTGCTATTTCGGATTTCTACACCTCCTGAATCCTTTGGTTTTCCCCTGCTGTAGGTGTAGGGAATGCTGAGATTCCCTGTTTTGAACCCCAGCATCAGAGGTTGTTTCCAATTATTCACCAAAGCAAGGCACTGAGGGTGCTGGATATCCAGGACACAGGATATGGACAAGGCTGAATCCATTGGTGTTGGGATAGTCTTGACAAAATAAATGTGAAGCCACAAGAACTTGCAGCCTTTTCTTCCAGGACAAGAGGAAATGGCTCTTTTGGACTTTTTCAACTGTCCTGGGGCTTTTAGATCAGTGTTGGGCACTGCTGCAAGTATGGCTGGATCGGGAAATTTTGGGGGAGGACTCATCACACAGTTTGGATGAGCTCAGCCCCTCCTGCCCCTCCCTTTTGCCCTGAACATCTCACTCAGCTAAAAGCTTCCTCAGCCAGGGAGATTCATTTAGGGCAGCCAGACAACGCTGTCTAAGGGGGATGAATCTGCAGCTGAGTGCAAAAACCATTCAGGGAGTGGCTTTTCCTTTATTCTCCACTGCAGGAGTTGATATTTCTGGACATGCAGTGGTCTGTGTGAGCAGCAGCTCCCCTCCAGATCCCAGCTGGTTAATCCTGCCAGCACAGCAGCACCAGCTCATCCAATGAGTTCACGTGCCAGTGCTTCAGGTCTGAGAGCTGCACGTCTGATTCTGAGGTGATTCGTTGCCCCACAGAAACGAATTCCTCAAAGTCTTTCTCTTGAAAGGACTTGCACCTCAGAGTCTGTGTGTGGGTTAGGAACACACTGGATTCCCAGAACGAGGTCACATCTTTGCCACTGCAGATCTGTGAAAGAATGGTCTGCTCTGGTGTCAGCTCAATGCTCAAATATTCCACCTTGGGGAGGCAAGAGAAGCTCTTGGCATCTGCCAGCCTGTTCCTGCTCTGTCCTGGCTGTGCAGCTGGGGCAGCTCCTGGATCATTTTAATGCCAAAGGAAGAAGATCCTGTTTGGGGTATTGCCCTGTGTTCTCAGGCACATGGATTCCTTTGTTCCTCTTGGCTAATGGAGCTTCAAACTGGCCCACCCTGGATGCTCTGTTTGCTCAAGGCCAAGCTTGGCTTTGTCCCCAAAGCTGGGATGAAGAAAGGAGGGACAGATGAGCAGAGTCCCTCAGTTTGGAGTGGTTTCTGACACAGGGATGGACACATGACAAGTGCCAAAGGGCATGGGGGCATTTGCCCTGGTAAAACAACACACCTAAAACCCAGGGCATCCCTTAGGGACACACACCATCTGTGTCCCATCCCGGGGCAGAGCAGAGAGGGGCCGAGAAACAGCTTCTGCATTTCCACAGCAGGAATTCCCCATCACTGTTTATGCCACCTGGGCCACTCCTATTCAGACCACCTGGATTTCTCCCACATTTCAAGCCCCACCTTGGAGGTCTGGGTACCTCACTCTGACACAAAGCTCACCCTGGGCTGTGTAATAGGTTTACAGTTCAGTTTTTTTCTAACTCCTTGCCCCTCCACGAGGAACAGTCCAAGGGTTTGAAAGCCAGGGAGACGTGGCAGCACCTGCTAGGAGGGAATAAGCAGGTGGAGGCTTGGCTTCCCTCTGCTTTTCCTAAGCACTTTGTACCTAGTGCTCAGATAAACACCATTTACTTCTTGGTGCTGCAAGACCGGGCAAGGAGGTAAAACACATGGATTTACAAACTATCTCAATAGTACAGACATGCAATTAGGAGTCAAACGTGGCCTGTGTGGCCTGATCAGTGGGTTTGGTTTGGGATTGCAGTGACAGAGCTGTCCAGCTGTGTTTGGAAAGCAGTGCAATAACGAGTCACACTTCTGGCTCCCTGCTCCTGCTGCTGACTTAGGGCAGGAGGGATTGAACCCAAGGCTGGAAGCAGTGGGAATGCTGGTGCTTCTGCAAGGCTTGCTCTGGTTTTTTTAACCCAGGTCATGGAGTTGGGCATCAAAGTTTTCCTTAAGCTCAGGAGCTTTGTGTGCCTTACCACAAAGTAAGTGGGTTTCAAGGGCCACATCCCTCTTGCACCCCATAAGCAGCTCAAAGCAGCTTCTGGGATCAACCCTCTCACTGCAGTTAATTCTTAAGTGTCCCTTGCACTAAAGAGTAGATGGAAAATTATTTGCAGTGCATTTGTGCTCTTCACTAGTCATGGAATATATTTGTTCCTCGCTTGACTCTTCAGTTTTGCTTTGCTCTTTTCCCCCAGCAGCTCAGCACTGGGATCTGCAATGGGCCCACAGGGTGTGTGCAGGGAGCTTAGTGGCTCCTGGGTGGAGCTTGGTGGTGACAGACACTGCTCCCGTGGGGAATTTGGGCTGGATTAACACCGGGGAACGGTTTGGGGGTTAGTGGAGACCACAGCCCAGCTGCTTTGTCACCCCCAGGGGTATTTTGCAGCTCCTTTGCACAGATCAGGGCAGTACCGAGCCACCAAACTCCTCCAGCACTGCCTCAAAACACAGCAAGGGGGAAATAAGCATCTCCAAAGTGGTTTTGGAAGCCTTTTTGCCTGAGGATATTGGGTAGATTTTCCAGAGAAATATGCCCAAATTGTTGTTGATGTTGTTGGTCGTGTTGTCCAGTTGCCTCTGACCTTGCCCAGCTCAGAGCTGATTTTCCCTGTAGGAGTTTCCCCATGTCTCTCCAGGGTGCAGGGCTAAGAAGGCTTTGCATTTTTGGGTGGATAATCAGTAAATCACTGGGTTTGCCAGACTTTTCCCCCCCTCCTCTTTACTTCTTTACGAACCTGCTGCTCCACTGAAACCTTGGCCATTTAGGAGGCAGGTGAAGCCAAAAGTTGTTACCTGGACTCTGTATTTTTACCCTTTATTTAAGCAAACTTGGACCCTGAAATTGTGAAACGAGGAAAACAACCTGGGTTGTGATTTTTTTTTAGTAATCCAACCACCCTTTCCACTCCCTGGGATGGGGTTTGGTAACGTGTTACAAATGGGGCAAGAGAGCTTTGGGGAGCATCTTGCAAGACTCACACCAGGAAATATTTGTTGATTCCTACCTCCCAAGAGGCTGGAATTTCGTGCTGGTACCCTGGGGTACCACTGGAGGAGTTTCACTACTTGGGGAAGCAGCTTTTCCCTCCTGAGGAATCATTTCTGGGGCCCCCCCGAGCTGCTTCCCCAACACATCAGTGTGACGTGTCCCCACGCCCCGGGGCTGCCCAGCAGCTCAGTGCTCACCTCAGGCACCCTGCAATGTAATAATCTGATTTTAATGGGTGGCCTTAGGCATTAAGACATCACACCATCCACTTCTGCCCACTGCTGCTGTTTCACTGGACGTTTGGCTCAGAGGTTTATGACAAACAGAGGGATATAAGACAGTGGGACACAAGCTAAGGGTTGGCTGCCTCTGGAAAACCCTCTGAAGGTGTTGGGCAGCTGCTCTCTCGTGGCTGCAGTGCTTGGTGTTTGCAGAGATGATGAGGATAAGTGGAAAAGAGGGAAGACCTTACTCTGTGTTCTTTAGAGGCTGCAGTTTCTTGATTATATACGAAGCTGGAGTGTTGTCTGCTCTGCTGGAATTGTCTCCTGACATACTGAAATCTGCATCCAGGATCTATGGATCATCTTCAGGATCAATTGTAGCTACAGCTGGATTGTGTGGGTCTGATATAGGTAAGAGCTGTGCACTTCTGTCCATTCTGAGCCTAAAGAGATCAAATATCTTGGAATTTGGGAGTTGCAAAAGGGTTTTTTTTAATTAATCAGTGATTAATTCCTCAGAATTTTGCTTTATTGACTTCTGGAAGAGTGGAAAACATGAGTAAACTGACCAGCAGAGATAAAACAGATTAGATATAATTATTAAATAAGTCATGCATCTTATTAATTTGAATTAATAGTAAGCATGTCTAATATAAAAAACAAGTTCTCTCCTTAATAAGTCATTTGGGCTTGCTGGTAGATTCCCAAAACACAGAGGGGAAAGAAAATACATTAGGGGGGAACACAGATTCAAGAGCCAACAGGAGGAAAAGTTTTACAAAGGCTTCTTGTCAGTTTTCTCCCACATCTCCAAAAATTTTTAAGATGCCTTGTGGAGAAAATCAAGAGAAATGGGATAAGAAAACAAGATACTTCTGTTTCCTGCAATTTTGAAAGTCCTTGGAAAATTTGGGTCCACTCATGAGAGGCTTAGCCCTAATGAAAATAATGGCTCTGTGTGAGCATTTCACAACATGGTAAAATGCCCCCTTCCCAGGTGGAAGTGCAGCTCAGCAAGTACATAAATAATACGTAATAGTATGTAACTAATCATGTAAGGGATGTAGAATGATTGCTCTGCTTTGCTTCAGATGAGTTCAAGAATACCATCCTCAGTCGTCTGACAACCTCCCTCTGGGGGCTTGTTCCTGGAAAAAGAGTCCATAAAGTCTTAAGGTATGGCCTGGACAAACACCTGCCTCCCAATGCCCACGAGCTGGTGTCTGGGAAGCTGCACGTTGTCCTCACCCGTGTGCACGACTGGAGAAGTGTGACCGTGTCCGAGTTTGCCTCCAAGGAGGACCTGATCCAGGTGGGAGCAGCCACAGCAAGGGGAGATGTGTGGGATTTCCTGCCTGGCTATGTCCCACAGCACAGAGTCAGGGAATGGGTTGGGTTGGAGGGGACCTTAAAGCTCATTTCATTCCACCCCCTGCCATGGGCAGGGACACCTCCCACTAGCCCAGGTTGCTCCAAGCCCTGTCCAACCTGGCCTTGGACACTTCCAGGGATGGGGCAGCCACAGCTTCTCTGGGCAACCTGTGCCAGAGTCTCACCATCCTCACTGTAAAAAACTTCTTCCTTATTTCTGATCTAAATCTCACCCTTTTTAGTTTCAAACCCAACCCTAACCCTTGTCTCATCCCGACAGGCCCTGGGGCCTCGCTGTAACCCACCCCATGATTTCTGCCCTTACCCCTCTGAATCCAGACAGGGTCACAAGCTGAAATAATACAATCAATCAGCCCTTTTACTTGCTGGCTGAATTATCCTGAGTATGCAGGGAACAAATTGAGGCATTTCACAGGTTCCCTTCCCACTTCTCCAGCCCTGGCTGTGGATGTCAGGCATGGTCTGGTGCACAATAGTGATGCCCAATAACCCAGCTGGGGGTCTCTGTTTTGGCATTCACAGATGAGCCACCATTCCCAAGGGCAACAGGTTTTGTGGCTCTTTGCTCACCTCTGTCCTTCCTGTCTCACCCACAGGCCATACTGTGCAGCTGCTTCATCCCAGGGTATTTTGGACTTTTCCCTCCTAAATTCCGTGGGGTGGTGAGTACCTTGTGGTCTGGAGACCCTGCCCCAGGTCAGGCCAAGGGCCCCTCTAGGCTGTGCTCTTTCTCCAGTGGTGGTACTGAGGATGTTTATACCTGTGTTTGCCACCAAAGTTGCTCAGTGCCACGTTCCCACAGTGTCTACAGAGGGAAGAAGGTGCCCCGAAATCTGACCTTACTGCAAACTGAGCGGACCCTCTCCCAAAATTGTCCATCCTTCCCCTGTCCCCAGGGTTGGCTCAACTCCTTTCTGCTGCTCTTCCCTCCCAGTTAAAGAGTGCTTTTGTGGCTGGAAGGGAGGAGGTGGTGGGTGTGGACCTGGAGCACACAAAACTGTGCTGCTCCTTCGAAAGGCACCTCTGTACTCCCAGAGCCTCAGCCTGGGTGGGGAAGAAACCCCAAATGGGACACAGCACTGCTCTCCCTGACACCAGGAGGGCCCAGGGTCCCCTGCTGTCCCTCCTAGCGTTACGTGGACGGGGAACTGGCCATGTGGAGAGCTGACTTCGTGTCCCAGAACACCATCACCGTGTCTGCGTTCGCCGGCGAATACGACATCTGCCCCCGGGACGGCGCCGCCGCCTTCTTCAACTTCCAGCTCTCTGACTGCACTTTGCACCTCTCCACGAGGAACCTCTGCCGCTTGCAGCACATTTTTCAGGTCCCCAAACGCCAAGTGAGCTGCTCCTACAGGTACCCAGAGCCACAAGCCCCCTTTTCTCTGGCCCAGCTGCCCTGACTGGCACCTCCCCCCTGCAGGTCATGGACCGGTTTTTTGCCTCTGGCTACCAGGACACGGTCTGCTTCTTAAAGAGACTGAGTAAGTGACTGGGAGTGAGGAGCAGGTAGGTTGGAGGCTTCTCTCACATTTTTGGGTTGCTGACAGAAGGTAAGAGTTGCTGCCAGTGCACCCAGAGGGTCCTGGGCAGAGGGATCCCTGCATCCCTGGCATTACAGGATTATTTGACTCCCAGCCTCTCCTGAAGCTCCCTGGTCACTCTCTGGTGATGTCAGATCTTTTCTCTGCCACAGTGGGCCTGGTAGAACTTTCTCCCAGGGAACTCAGGCCCCCAGGACCTGGACAGAAATGCAGACTTATGTGCCCTGTGAGGTGTTAGATAACCCACTGATCACAAAGCAGCAAAGTTTGGTGATCCCTGACCCCCAAACCCAACTCCAATTAACCATGGGGTCACCAGTATCCCTGTTTTCCAGTCAACCCTGGTCATGCCTCACACTGCTGGAGAACAGGTCGTTGAGGAACAGGCAGTGAGAGCTGGATTCTCTTCCCAACAGTTGATTTCCCTGTAGATTACTTCAAAGGCTTTAAGCTTTCATTCACCAGTGGATCACATCAGAAAGGTGAGGAGACCCTGCACTGGAAGCCAGAACTGAGAGAACTTTGCTCCAGAGCCACAGACCCTGAGGAGGTCACTGAAGAGAATCGAGGGACCACCCAGGCAGAAGATGAAGCCCCACATCACCTTCACCACCCCCAGAAGGGTAAAGAACCAGCACTTCCTTTACCCCACCAGTTTCCATGGGCTAAGTGACACTTGGCCCAGGGCTGTCACTGCCAAAAGGGGTTCTCTGGGACTTTGGAGACTCCAGAAAAGATGTGGGGACATCAGGAATGGGTAAAAAGGCCCCCCTGGGTGAGGGGTTATTAGTGAGGCTTTATGCTGAACCTGTTTTAGGTGAGGATTAAGGCTTGTAGCTGGCTCAGAAGGGCTCTTTGGAACAGCAGCTCTTTCCATGGAGAAAGCCATTTATTTACTCAGCTTGCAAGGTAATAACAGGTTCTGTCCACACATCCTTTCATTAAGGGTGTCTCAAGGGTTCCAGGGTCAAATCCAGATTTCTCCTTAGTCACTCTGGTTGCAGCCAGAGAAATTCTGAGTGCAAGGAAGGCACTGCAGAGCTGGAGGTAAACCTCTACCTGTATCATTTTTGAGCAACACAGGGCAGGTTTAAATCCAAGACTTGTAGTTTTCTGCAATCCTATGCAAAATAATGCCCTCTCCCATTTCAATTTTGAACAGAAAACCAGTGAATCCTCAGCATTTCAGTTCCCAGCTTGTGTTATTATTACTAGAGAAATACGAAGAAGTATCTGCTGGAATGCAACATTTTTTACAATTTTTTTATTTCCTTTTTCTTTTTGAGTCTTTCAACATTTCAGAATTTGTCAGCTTAGGTGAATTGTCACAGCTTTTTCAACATGCTGATTATTTAAAATGTTGCCACATAAATAAAAAGTAAAAAAAAAAAAAAAGACCTGAATATTGTTCTAGGAGGACCACACCAAACGAGGAATATGAAGAGGAAAGAACAGGACTGTTACCCTTCCAGCTCTAAAAGCAAAAGCTTGAAAAGCATAAAATAAAAGCAAGGAAGATCTTTCCATGGAAAACAAACCAGCTCTTGGCCCACTAAGAAGTGCAGGACACAGTATGAGGCTGTTGCTTCCATGGTTGCATTTTTAAAGGCTCCATCAGTCTGAGCTACGTGGAGCTTTTGGAAGCAACACAGTAGGAATGAGGCCTCTTTGGACTCCTGGGCTATCAGGAGTCTCTGTCTCTGGTTTGCAGCTGGGCTGCAACATTTTTCACTGAAATCAGTTTACCTGTGGGAGGAATCAAAACTCCTTTGTTAGGCCAGGGAGCAACCAAGAGATGAGTCTGGGCTCTCAGTCTCCAGAGGAGAAACACAGGAGGTTTTCCATATCCATGAAGGAAAAGCCCTGATGATCTAGGCCAGGAAAAGGCTGTTTTATTGTTTGTCTGTGCAATATCATTGATGTTGCCAAATCAGCAGGGGGATAAACTTGTGAACAACTTTTCTTGAGTAAGTCCTGTTTCCAAAGGACACAATCCACAAGGATTTGCCTCTCTATCCACATGCCCAGCAGGACAATTGCACAGGGAGTTGCACCCTCCTTAGTCCTTGCACTAGAAGCAGAGTCTGGCACAAAGCACCTGCAGCCAACAGCCAGGGCCACAGGCAGGACTGAGCACAGGCTTGGTTTTGTTTGGCTCCATTGCTTGGATCAGATTCTGGGATTCTTCCCTCCCTAGAGCTGGAGGAGCTCCTGCTGCCTTGGGATGCCTCCAAACTCTCATCCCATCCACCCGAGGCTTCACATTTCTGCTGAGTTCAAGGGGGCAAACAACAGCACAGTGGTGGGAGGGCAATATTTGAGGGATATCAAAACCTGCTTATCCTGTTGCCCTTTGGACAGCAGGAGGGAGGGAACAGCTCTGCTCAGGTACTTGAATCCAGTTTGTCTCACAGGAACTGCCAGAAGTGTCTGTCAGACAGAATAATGTGGTTTTCCTCCCTTTAGGGCCAGGCCAGCCACAGAAGAGCATTTTTGGCCCTGCTGCTGCCTTTAGCTCCAGTTTATCTTTCAAAGAGAGAATGAGGAACTTGCAGCCCAGCCTGAAGGCAGAGCCTGACCTGCACTGAGGAGCACAAGGATGTGACAGTGACAGTGACAGTGACATCAGCAGCACAGGCAGGACCAACAGCCCCTTCTATCCCTGCCCCAGACCCTGGTGCTTCCCGTGACCCACCTCAAAGGAGGCATTCCAGAGTGATCTATCCTGATGGGTGCAGCTGGGTTTCCAGTCTGCTTCCTTGGGGTGAAACAATGTCCTGCACAAGGTGATTCCAACTGATGCCAAGATTTATCCATTGCCTCTGGCAGAGCCTCCTGCTGCCCTTAGCTCCAAGCTCGTGCAGAGGAGGCAGCACCAGCTGTGCTTCCTTGAAAAGGTGAGGGATTAATAAAGCAAAAACCAGCTGATTTGAATATTGAGTTGTTAAATATTTCTCTCTTAGCAAATCTCTGCAGGTTTGGAGCAGGAGGGCTTTTTGTGGGACTGTTTTGGTTTGGGTGTTCCTTGTGGGTTGTTTTTTTTGTTGAAGTTCTCGAAGTTTTACTGAGCTTTTATGACTAAGCATCATAGGGGCAGGTGGGACACACAGGGTAGTTCAAACTGTGCTCCTGTTTGTGGCTGAGATTTGCAGACACATTTAGTGGATTTGGGTGTCCAAAAAAAAAAAAAAAGAAAATTTTCTTTGGGGGATTTTAATTCCCATTTGAAGTGTAACTGCTTGAGTCTAACTGAAGTGGGAATATCCTGCCTGGAGGTGCTTGCTAGGAAGCCCAGGACCTTTCCCACCCAAACCATTCCATGATTCTATGAAATAAGCATCCAGGTTTCTTTTTGCAAGCTCATTCCAGAGAAAATATTCCCAAGTCCCTGATTTCAACCAAAGATAGCAGAACTTGGTGTATTAATCTTTCACAGAGCATTCAGAGCTAACTTTGGATCTGTTTACATCAAAGCAGCCTTCAGCTGCTCCCCACATTCATGCCTGCAGTCCCCAGGGCCCTTTGGATGAAACTTCCCTCTGTTCCATTTCCCTTTGTGCAATTAAACAGGCTCTTTATTCACATAAACAGCTTGTGCTGTTGGGATCCATTTGTTGTCCATTGGGAACTATCAAACAGGGGAGACTCAGGTTGAAGCCAACCCATCAGTCTCTGATGTGCAGCTCGGATTTGGGACAGTTAAGAGAGCTGCCAGTTAATTCTCTGTACAGACCAGCAACACGGGGGGTGTTTGCCTGGGCCCTGCACTGTGGGTGGCTGCAAATTAGAGACAATTCCCTGAAAAGAACTAATTTATCTGTGAAATGTCAGGGAATGCACAGACTGCAGGACTCTGAAGTAGGAGGAGGTTAATCTTCAGGTTTCTCCATTCTTGTCCACGGCTGCAAATTTGAGGGGGATCCAAATGTTCTCCCACCTCCACAGGCAGGAGAAGCAGAGCTATGGGGGTGTGTGAAGCTCAAGGAGAGAGAATTGGTAAAGTAACTTCAGAGAACTGGACAAAAATTGGTTCCTGCCCAGTGTGATGCTCCCTAAGGCTTCTCCCTTGCTCAGATGAAACTGCTCTGGAAGTTTTTGAGTGGGAGGAAAACACTTAAAATGTGGCCTTTCATGGCAAATTCCTGCCCTGTAATCTGCATCAAAAGAAGGGATGGGAGGCTGCTGGTGATGAGGAGGGAGAGAGGGGAAGGAAGCAGGTGCTGGGCTGTGGGTGCCTGCAGGTGAAGCTGCCCAGTGGCTCCTGCAGCCTCTGCTGGGTCACAGGAGCAGCACCAGAGCTTTGCCTCGCCTGTCACGTTAGAGCAGGTCAGGCCTGAGCAGGGGCAGCAGCACTGGAGGCAGGATCAGCTCCCAAGTGAAAAAAAAACACCCTCCAAACTATTCCACAGAAAGCCAGCAGCCGTGCTGGTGTGTGAGATGAGCTCTGCTCTCACCCATCCCCTCCCGAGGCAGCAGAACCAGCGGCATCAGAGACCCCCAGGGCCTGTCCAGGACAGTTACCTGTGGGGACAAAGGGACACCTGAGTCGAGATCCACAGACCAGGAGCCATGAGCAGCCCCAGGGGTGTCTGACACCAAAGGGCTTTCTCAGAGCTGAGCAGTTTGTAGCTGTGTGGAATTGTCCTGGGCCAGTCTCCTTCCAGCTGCTCATGAAGGGACTTGCAAGCAGGTTTTGGGGAGATACGACTTAAAAGCTGTCGGTGTGACAAGATAAGTGCCTCAAATCCTTGAGAGTTTAGTGCCAAAACATCTCTCAGGATCTTGGTGAGCGTTCCTGATGTCGTGCCAGGGCAAAGCCCAGCAGATAAATATCTGGAACACGATTATGTTGCAATAGGGAAGCAGCACTGAGCTGTTTTGTAGCTCCTTTGAGATATCAAAATAATATCATGGGGGAAAAAAATAGCTATTTTTAATGTGGGCTACTCCAGATTTGGAGATTTTAGCCATGCTCAGCATCAGTGACCCATGGGTGAGGTCCCCCAGGGTTTCCCTCCTCTCCCTTTGCTGAGGGTTTGCATCCTCTGAGCTTCTCACCTCCTGTCCACAGCTCTCTTGGGCAAACCAGGCACCAAGGTTTGGAGGAGTTTATGGAGTCCTTGTACCAGGGAGGTGACACCTTCCAGCAGCCCCCACACCTTCTTCACCCTGCAAAAGTAAAATAAACAGCCTGAGTTTAATGATGGGCAAAGGCAGGAAAAGGTGTTAATGGTAAATGCACACTGTAACAATCTTTTCCATAACCAAGTGACCCTGTGGTGTTCCCACCAGCCATACCCACTCTCCCTGAGAGTTTGCCTTCAGGGAACACTAAATCCCTTCAGCTGTCTCACCACTGCTGAAGCCACGACCCCTGGTTTGTGTGTCATTCTCTGATGCCTCTCTCAGGGTGTTCTTACCCCTTCCTGAATAAAGCTGGAAGCCTGTATGGCTGCAACAGGATCCTGGCCAGGGGATCCTGCAGTCCATTCATCTGCTCCTTCTTCCACAAGCCTGTGCCCACAAACGACAACACAGAAGGATCAGTAACAGAAATAATCAAATAAATGCAAGAATCCCTCTTGTCCAGTTGCAGCTCAGGTAGATGCTTAAGCCCAGACCCAAGTCCAGCTTGAGCCACCCTTACAAAGACTCTTTGTGAGCAGCTACTGCAGATGTAGAAATATTTACTATAATAAATAACTCAATAATGTCTTAAATATAACACTGCTCCTCTTGAGGACTGCAGCAGCCCTAAACCTGAGCTCAGCACCCCAAATCCTCTACCTGGCAGGAAGTAAGGAGTCAGGCTCTCAGGGACCCTCCTGTACAGGCCGGGGTGTGTCCCCTTGGATTGGGTGGAGTTGTTCTTCCCACAGGTGCTCCCGAAGCGGAAATTGCCATCGAAGTAGTTGAATCCAAAGGCATCTGTGGGACATGGAGAGAAAGGGATGATGTTTGTGTCTGTCAAACATCTGCCCATCAGGTCTTGGGGTGGCACTTACTGTTCCTGTACAGGAAAAGGGCAGTGTCCTGGTACCCCTGGGAGAAAATGTCGTTCAAGACCTGCAAGGAGAAAGACTTGAGGTCACTGAAGAGCCCCAACCCAGGCAGGGCAGGGTAGGGCAGGATCTATCCAAAGCTGTTTGACCATGGAGGGTCGGGATGGCCCATTTGGGAAGGCAGCAAGCACAGGTTGGTTTCCAACCACAGAAACACTGGTCGTGGAATCACAGAATGGTTTGGGTTGGAAGGGACCTTAAAGATCATCTCATTCCATCTGGTCCTTTGCAGGTTGTGGACCCCCACCCCAGGTTGCCCACCCATCAGCAGTGTCCCCCCCAAATAATGTCCTGCCATAACAGCTGGTGCTCCCCCCCACCTTTGAAATCTGATTAATAAGTGGTGGAGATTGAGCTGAACCCTAAAGCTTGGGAAGGCAGGAGCAGAATTGATTTCTTTTAACCAAAACAAAGCTGGGAGAAGCCCTGGTGGGCTCACCATGGTGCTGGGTGGGAAGAGAGCGTAGCTGATCCTGCAGAGGTTCTCTATGGAGATCTGGACGCTGCCATTGAAGATCTGGAAGCAGAAGAAGATGGCAGGACAGTCCCGGGGGCAGATGTCGAGCTCTCCGGTGAAGGGGGACACGGTGATCACGGGCTCCTCCAGGCTGGACACGGGCTGCAGGCCAGTGAACCCCCCGTCCACGTAGCGCTGTGGGCAGGAGCAGAGGGAGGGTTTGCTTTGAGGGTCGTGGCAGTGTCACCAGGATGAGAACCAGCAGCTCCACGGGCGACAGAGAATCAGAGAATCACAGAATCACAGAATCACAGAATCGCAGAATCACAGAACCACAGAATCAGCGGGGTTGGAAGGGACCTCAGAGATCATCAAGTCCAACCCTTGATCCAACCCCGCTGTGGTTCCCAGCCCATGGCACTGATGCCACATCCAGTCTGTCCTTAAACACCTCCAGGGATGGAGAATCCCCCACTTCCCTGGGCAGCCCATTCCAATGGCTGAGCACCCTCTCTGCAAAGAAATTCTTCCTAATATCCAACCTAACCCTCCCCTGGCACAGCTGAAGACCCAGCCCTCTTGTCTTGCTGATGGTTGCCTGGGAAAAGAGACCAACCCCCCCCTGGCTCCCCCCTCCTGTCAGGGAGTTGCAGAGAGTGAGGAGGTCTCCCCTGAGCCTCCTCTTCTCCAGGCTGAGCCCCCCCAGCTCCCTCAGCCTCTCCTCACAGCACTTGTGCTCCAGTCCCTTCCCCAGCCTCGTTGCTCTCCTCTGGACCTGCTCCAGGACCTCCATGTCCTTCCTGAGCTGAGGGCCCAGAACTGGACACAGCACTCCAGGGGTGGCCCCACCAGCGCTGTGTACAGGGAAAGAATCTCCCACCACGAACCAGTCCCAGCACATCCTCTCTTCTTTCAACAGCATCTCTTCCCACCCTTACTCTTAATCCCAGGCTTTACGAGCTCCTCCAGCTGCCCTGCCTGTGGCACCCAGCCAGCCCCTCAACCAGGTGCTGTAATCCACAGCAGTAATTAAGATGGGAATATAATTATTTTAATTCACAAAGGTTTGTAAAAAAAAATAATTTGGCAGTTGTGAGCCAGTTCAAACATCGCCAAATGCACAGTGCTGTATAACTTTCAAGTCCTGAACTCGAGCAGTAGGGCTCCCACTTTAATAATTGTCTGTAAAGCCCTGGGGGATTGCTCACTGGGCAAGGAAAATGTCATTTGCTGTGTCCCAGAAGGAATCTGAATTTGCCATCCACCTCAGTGGGGTTTGAGGTTGCAGCTGATCAAGTTAAATGTTCATGAAGTGACGGTGCAGGGGGGCCTCACACAGCAATCATGGACCCAGGGAATGGTTTGAGCTGGAAGGGACCTCAAAGCTCATCCCGTTCCACCCCCTGCCATGGGCAGAGACACCTTCCACTAGCCCAGGGTGCTCCAAGCCCTGTCCAACCTGGCCTTGGACACTTCCAGGGATGGAGACCTTAGAGCCCCTTCCAGTGCCTAGAGGGGCTCCAGGAGAGCTGGAGAGGAACTTTGGCCAAGGCCTGGAGTGACGGGACAAGGAGAATGGCTTTGCACTGCCAGAGGGGAGGGTTAGATGGAAAATTGGGAAGGAATTGTTCCCTGTGAGGGTGGTGAGGCCCCGGCACAGGTTGCCCAGAGAAGCTGTGGCTGCCCCACCCCTGAAAGCTCTGGAAAACACTGACGTGCTCCTCCTTCACCCAGACAAGCACAGGGTATGAAAATGCACAGGGCTGGGGGAGGATCCTCCCACAGACTCTCGGTGTCTCAGCCATGCAGGTCTGCACCTGATCTCAGTGACACCTGCACTGCAGGCAGACCCTGCCCAGGATAACTGGATTATGTCTCTAATTCCTGAGCGTGGGATTCCTCTCAGCTCACGTTGGAGATCTGCAAGGCAAGACTGAGTCATCCACGCTCTGTCTGTGGGCAAAGCAGGAGAGGCCTCTCCAGATGGCAATTCCACCCAGCTATCACCTTAGGATGGGATGGAGAACAAGCTGAAAGGCTTTATCCTCCTCCATTAGCTAAAGAAAAAGCCTGGACCTACATAGTCCACCCTGCTCAAGGGAACATGAAGTTCAAACCCAAGAACACGCTGCTGGGAGCGTGAGTTTTATTGGAAAGATCACTCACCACTCCTCGGTAGGATGGAGGGATGAATCCACAGTAAATAGGAAGGAAGCAGCTGCAGAGGAGAGCCTGGGGGAGGAGAGGGATTGCAGAAGTCAATGTTCCTGTCAAAGTTCCCCTGGACAAAAGCTGTTGACTGGGTGCCTGAAAATTCAGCCTTGACAAAGTCTGGAGCCAGGCTGCCAGTGCCACCTGGACTGTGGCAAGAAAGGCTTCAAGAAGGGCAAAACAGCTCATTTCGTTAAAGTTGAAGTAATTCTCTTGAGCAGGGCAAAGCCCTTCGGATTTTAATTAATTTTAAAAATTAAATTTATTTAAATTTAATTAAAATTGATTTAATTAAGCCCTGCCAGAATTAATAGGTGTAAATCTACATATCACTGTCCAACACTGCCCTGTGAGAGTGGCAAGGTGAAGCTTTGGGGCCATTGTTCATCTTTGCAGGTTTTTGGACAAAACCAAGACACCCTCACAACTCATCCTCATCCTGCTGGGATTTGTCAATGATAAAGCCACTGCTGTGGCATTTGCAACTATATTCCAGCAACCCCATCAGCTGGGAATGAGCTCCCTGGGCTCCTGGGTTGCCTAGAAGAGGCACCACGGGGTGAACTCCAACATCTCCATGGAGTTGCCACCCTCTGCTGTCACCCTGTGACAAGCAAGTTTAAGACCTCACAGTCTTTGCCCCGGGATTCTTCCCCCAGGTAATTAACCAGATAATTAACTGCTTAATCAGCTGCTTGTTGTTTGGCAGCAGCTTTGTCCAGCTCTTGCCTCCCAGGAAAGTGCTGAGGCAACAAGGAAAACCACTGCCAATGGGATTTGGCTGAGGAGAGGCCTCTCCAGAGAGCTGAGCGCTAACAGAGCTCTTAAAGAGTCATCAGCACTAATTAGAGTATCAACATCAGCTTTATGAGGCTGGAAAGAACCCCACTGCTTTTTTAGCATGATTTGTTCCTGTCTGACTCTGGACCTCACATCTCCCTCCCTCCAAGACTCAGGGAGCTTATTGTGGTAGGACCACAGCTCTGGCAGAGCTTCTTGATCCTCTCAGCAGAAAATCTGGCAAGCACTATAATGTTTATTACTCAGGGTAGAAAACAGTGCAGTTAAAAACACCAGTTTAGGTTCCTGCACCCCGAGCAGTGGGCAGAGATCTTCCTCAGCATCAGAGGAATGACTGTGTACCTGAATGAGCTCCTCTTTGGAGCTGAACTCCGAGGCCATGACATTCTGGCCATCTGCCACCCGTGTGAGTGAGATGTGCAGCCTCCCTGAAGCCAACTGGTAGGAATCCTCTGGGAGCATTCGCTGCAGAACAGCCTTGATATTGGCCAGCAAGCTGCACTTGGGAGAGAGGGGGCCCAGGATGGTTTTCCTGACTTCTGCTGCCAGGGCAAAGAAAAATTCCTTCAGGTCATCTGAAACAGAGACAGGGGAAAGACAGAGAGAAAGTCAATATCCCTGCTGCCCTACCAGTTATATTTTTCATCCTATTCCTAACACTCCCCACAAACAAAGCCTCTTGCAGCCCTTCTGTGTGACCCCAGGATGACATTGCTGGGGAATGTTGTGGCAGGGCAGAAAAGGGGACATCACCCCCACGATGTCCTCAAAAGACAACGTGTTGCTGAGTGTGACCCCGTCTGTGAAATCCCCGTCTGCACCGGAGACAGGTGCTCAAGGGAGGGATTAGGGAAAGGTTCCAAAGAACTCTGCAGACAGAGTTATAGGTGCCAATGTGACCTGCACAACACGTTCCTGCCTTCCACCTCCAGTTTTCCAGCTGCCTGGGGGAGATGGGATGGCTCACGGATGAGGATGAGGGGCACCTACTCTGTGTAGGGCTTTCCTGCAAGCCAAGTGTCCTGGGACTCCCCGCTCACCTGAGCTCCCCCAGCCACCTGTGAGATGGTGTTAATAACCATTACATGTGTCTGCACATCCCAGGAGCTGGATTAAAGGAGCAGAGCCCTGGCCAAAGGCTCAGGACACTCTGGGTTTTAAAGGCTGTGCAGTGATGGGGAGGAAGAGGAGTGCAGCAAACTCCTGATCCCAGGGAGGGAGTTTGGTCTGTGTGCTGACATGGGGAGCTCCCCTGGGGGAATATCCCACCCTGGGGGTTAAACTCCTTCAGCAAAAAGCTCATGTAGCTCCAAAAGAGCCGTCCTTGCACCCAGGGGAGCTCCCTGGGGCCCTGCACTGGCGCGAAGCCTCAGCACCACAGCTTTGTAGGGGCAGAGGTTTCCATGCTGTCTCATGAGACTGCTTGGACAGACAGACGGATTAGATGGAGTGTCCCGAAGGCACCTGGAGCCACACAGGTATTAAGAGGGGTTATGTGTGTTTGAGCGGATGCTGAGGCCATGTGGTGATGATTAGTGCTTGTCAGGGTCACACGGGGTCCTCGGGGATCCCAAAAGAGCCAGAGACACCCCAGGGAGGTGGTGCACCCACAGGGCGCTGTCTGGCTGCTCTGTATCCTGGGAATGAGGAAAATGTGGAAAAACTGCCCACAAGCTGCTGGGTAGGAGGTGAGAGACGATCCCAGCTTGGGGGCTTTGGTTCGGGGCACGCAAGGGATGACCCTGGCAGCAGTGCCATGTCTGTCCCTGCCTGCAGCAGCTTGGTGACCAGGCGTGTCCCCAGGAGATGACCTGTGGGGTGGCAGAGGACAGACTGGCTCGGGGAGCTCAGACCTCCTCACCCAGCCCAGGTCAGGGCAGGGGACAGGGACCTGACTGCAGCCACCCCAGGGACACCAAACACACCTTTCACCCTCTTTTTGCCCCAGTGTGAATTTGACAGAGTTTGTGCCACTTTCATTTTCCTTATTAGAAACCCAACCAGCGTCATCACTACCCAAAATGTCTTTTCTTCCCCTGGGGAAGGTATTTTGAGCACAAGATCATCTCAACCCCTCTAAGTGGAGGGTGCCTTTCACCCCCATGGAAGCAGAGCCCTGTTTCAGGACTGGCGCCCCCAGTAAGAGCAGTTCCTAAATTTATTTACCCTGTTGGACATCCCCAGCTCCATCCATTACACCAGCATGAGGAATCAGGAGGAAAATTTGGGGCCCTTGCTGATTTGTAGAGGAGTTTACCCCATATGGGCAGAAATGTTTATTTCTGCTCTTTCTAAATATATATATATATAAATATATATATATACACTGCTGTTCCATCAGGCACATCCCACTGATGAGCCCTTGAGCTTTTACCACAGGGAAAGATGCTCCATTGTCTGGAAATGGGAATTGCAGCACCTCTTCCCTTGTTCTGGGAAGGTTGGGTGGGATGACTCAAAGTGACATGCAAACAGGGCTGTCACCTCTGTGGATACCTGTGAACACCACCCATGTCCCTTTGTTGCTAAGGAACCCAAGGGACCTGATCCATAGGGACAAAGGGCCTTTCCATGGGCATATCCCATGGAGATGCCAAGTCTGCAGCCATGTAGACTTTCTTTGGGACACATCTCAGCACTCCTCAGATCTCGTAGCAGAAGGGAAGTTCGGCTCCTTCAGCAGGAGAAGGAAAATGAGCCAATGGAATACAGGCACATCCAGATTTCCCCACACAAGCATCTCCCTCCCATCTGATAATGAACACTCAGACTGTCACAACCTGCTGTTGTCCCCTTATACCACCCAAAATTGCTCCAGCTTGGCTGCCAAAAGTGACAACACCTCGGATTTCTTCAGTGCCTCACGAGCGATAGGAATCACACCAGCATTGCATCCCTGTTGCCAAACACCCCTGAAATCCTCAGGAATGACAGAACCCTCTTACTCTGCATTTTGGGTGTCAGAACCACTGCCTTTTTGGTGTTAGAAGACAAGGCCTCACTTCATTTGCAGCTCTGGGTGTACATGTGGCCAACAAAAATCCCGCCTCCACCCAGACACCAACACGTCATTTTTTCACCTGTTTATAAATTTTTAACAAATTTAAAGAAATTAATGTTCATTGGTTCTAAATTACGTCATTCCTTTTCATTAATTATTATTCTACCCACTACTGGTTATTAATGCCTCATTGCTCATGCTAACTAGTTCATACTTTTAGTCTTTTTGGTATCTTTGGTGGGGACTTTCTGACACAAACATTGAGCCTTTGTTAGACTTCTTTGTCATCTGCTGGTTTCTGCAAAAGGTCCTGGTTTCCAGATGTCCAGTTTCAACAACACATCTTTCTCTCACAGGCTTTGTTCACTGAAGCCTATCAAGGTTAACTTTAAAACTTACAGTTTTAGCCCTTTTCCCAAGCTGTGTTCTCACAAAAGTTGCTTACGACAACTTTTTGCTCCGTGCCGGCTAAAAGCGATTTAAGGCCTAACACGCAACCTGTGATCAATGAGAACAACTAATTAAAGGGCTCATTAGGACCATTAAAAAAAGAATTAGAAAAGTTGTATCATTTGCAACACCCCCCCCCCCCCGGCACTTCGAGGCACCATTTTTGAAATAAAACTCTCCAGGGAAAGGAAATGGAGGTGAGGGTTTCCTTACCCAGCCCGATCCCGCACACGACGGCGGCGGCGATCAGGGACCCCGCTGAGGATCCATAGACCTTGCACGCGGATTTGAGGAGCTCGGGAGCCAGTTCCAGGAGGGACTGCACCACCCCAACCTGGTACAGGGCCAGGAAACCACTGCCCGAGAAGGAGAGCGAGAAAGGGGTGCTGGGAGCCCGGAGATCCTCCACAGCCATCCCGGGATCCAAGCGCTGGGTCCGGCTCGGTGTCTCTGGTTGTCCTTTTTCACCAGGTGAAACTCAGGCTCTCTTCTGCTCTGCTCCCTCCAGGCTCATCTCTGGTGCAGAGGAGTCCAGAAGATGGATTTTCTGCCTCCTTTTATGACAGCTCCCCGAGGCGTTGAGATTCCTGAGCTATTTTAATTGCTGCCTGTGCTAAAAACAGAAATTTTCCCCTGATCAAAACAGCTCTTATAATCCTCAACCACAGCCAGGCTGATGCTCAGGGCTGAGTCAAGGCTCCCCTCTCATTCCAAGGGGTCTGCAGTGCCCCAGGAGCTCTCCCAGAGATAGTTCTGATGTTCCTGTGCCCGGCACAATTGGAAACATCCGTGCAAAAATTCCTCTTTGCTTTGTGCTTTCTTCATCAAAGGGTGTTTTCCTAAATAGGATTCTCCATTAATCCTGGCTTAGGCACAGCTCAGTACTGAGTGAGTAAAGGCTTGTATAAGACACTTAAAGCCAGAGGGTGTTACACAAGGGGTGGATGCAGGGCTGGGTTAGGTTTGGAAATATTCCTTATATTTGCTCCCCATTGGAAGGGTTTTTCCTTGCCTGACTCTTGGATATTATTTGGGGGGGTGTAAAAACCAAAGAGCTGGGTTTGTTTTTCTCTCCCCCTCCCAATGAGGTCCTACAGTAGCACCACATTCCCCCAATCTGTGGTTACAGAACCAAAATCAAAGTGCATTTGGGCTGTCTGCATTTCCTGGGGTATAGTTAAAAAAAAACCATGGAGAAATCCAGTAGATTTCTTGTGTCTTTTCAGCCTTAATGCTCCAATGCTGCTGCCAACATACAGAATAAAAAATGCCATTTTCAACAGAAGTGTTTAATAAATATTGGTAAATATTTATGTTTATGTTGTCCAAATCCATACAACCTGAACTGTATGTGAATACTACATATATTGAAATGAGGGATTTGTCTATACAACACTGGCATGTGGATGATGACAGGCTGAAGGAACAAACTCTCCTTCCCCATGTCATGCACCAGCCTGGCCAGGACGATACAGGGAAACAGAGGATGGTCCCAGCATCCTGATACAACCTTTGCAGGGCGGTTTCACCCCCAATTTTTATACATTTTAACTTGTCCTCTCCAGCTGTTGCTGCGTCCCCACGACAAGAGCTGTGTCCTGGGAGCAGAGATGTGCCAACTGTCCCTGGGTTGAAGTGTCACTGGTGGACATTGCCTGAACCCCAGGTAAATGTGACAGCACAGCCAGGGCAGGTCTCTGGTGCTGCCTGGATGTCAGGACACACAGCAGCAAGTTCTCAGCTCCAAGACATGTTGAATAATTATCTGAGTTATCCTGGAGGTGAACAACTGCTTGAATCAGGGCTTTCAGATCACAGCCTTACTGCAGCTTCTCATTTCTTGTCTTTCCAGTGTTTGATGTTTTGTATCATCCCCTCCTTGGGTGAGTCTCCCACACATTCCAGCCTTTCCACCAGCCTCCTGGTGATATCTGAGCTTTGAGCTGTGTGATTCAAGCCACTGGCTCCTGCAGCCCTTGGGAAAGCAAAAATCCTTTCATTTAAAGGACTTTCTTCCAGTACTGCAAAGGTCAAGAAGGACAAAAATATCATCTCTTGCTGCAACTGGTCCAAACACTCCAGAGCATCGGAAGTGCAGGAGTGTTTGCACACTGGAAGGAATTGTTCCTGTGTTCCCTGGGGGTGAGCTGTGCCTGTGGTGCGTGTCAGGCCCCCAGGGAATGCACCAGGCTCTGCATGGAGAGGTGTAGGATGCTCCTGCTCCACTCAGCGCTTGCACTGCCTTGGTTGTGCCCAGCCCCGACTGCCAAGAGTTGGGAAAGGTGTAAATGATCCCACGGGACCTGCAGGAACACGGTCCTCTGTCCTGCAGTGAGTCATGGGGGCTTTCTTAAGGGGTCTGGGAGTTGCCAAATCCGCCCCTGCACCCTCCCCTGCTGCAAACACTGAGGCCCCGGGACAGCATTCCAGGAGACATCATCCCCCCTGGCTCAGCTCCAGGGTCCCGTGAGAAGAAACCTTGTCATCATCCTCTTAGTGACAGCAAATTTTGCATTAATTGGCTCATTAAGTGCCGGGCTGATTTTCTAAGCTGCCCTCCCCACCTGGCAAAGCAGGATTAGGAGGGCCTGACAGCTTCAGAGACAGAGGATCCCGGCAGCAGGTGGGTTTGGGGAGAAGGTCCCCGGCTCACACTGAGCACCAGGCGGGCTGGGGGCTGTGCAGGGCACGGGGCTGCTTCTTGCCTGGGCAGGATCAGTGCCCAGATGGCCGGTGTCTGTGATCCCAGGGATTTTCGTGCGAGGGGATTGTCTTTGCTGTTGGAAGCCACCACGGGGTGTTTAGGAAAGGATGAAGGTAATGCCAAGAGCTGGAAACTGCTCAAACCCCCGGGACTTATAACTTGCCCTTCTTTAAAACCTTCTTAATATCTTCAGTGGCCACAGGCAATCAGGTTCTCAATTTTATAACCAAGAGATTAGCCCAAGATGCCGGAGTCACTCACAAGAAGGACATGAGGTGTTGTACTAAACAGCAGCTGTGGCCACATCTGACCTCATCCCACTGTGCTGGGCTGGAGCAACATCCCTGCTTTGGGTTGGGCTATTTGAGGGCAGGAGCCCCTTGTTCAAGGGGATGGGCACATTTTGCTCCTCGCTTTCCAGGCACTGCTGCCCTGATGGGTTGGAAACAGTCCAGTGACCACGGAAGGAGAGTATTTGGTTCAGCTGTGGTGTTGGGAGAAGCACAGGAGCAGGGAATGGGAGAGATGAGTTGTTTGCCTCACTGATGTTTCACCTGGCGGGTGTGTCCCACGTGCTGATGGAAGATGAAATCCTCTGGGACGTCAGGGAGGAAACAGAACCCTTTTTTGCTCCCACCCCTGGCATTGCACGAGCTCAGATGCAAAACAAATAGAGGCATTGCATGATCCTCCAGATGGGTCCCCACCACCTCCCCACCATCAGCTCAGCCTGCCCTGGTCACAGCCCAGCACAGTCCCCAGGCTCCCAGCAGGGAACGGGGACATCGGGACAGCTACAAACAGCCAAGAGCAGCTTCTGTCTCTCTTGCAGTAAAAGTCTCCCAATTTGGTTCCTGGCCAAAAGGAAACATGGTGCTGATGCTGCACTTGTTGTTGGCAGGATCCAGGAGCGGGATTTGATGTTTTCCACAGTCCTAATTACCCCAGGCTAAATTAGACAGAGCCCCTGCAAGGTATCCCCCCTCCCCGGGGCCTTGAGCAGCCGGTGACTGAACTCTCTGGGTCTGCCAGATGTGCCCTTGAAGGCTTAGCAAACAGGGATGTGGATGTGGGTGGGGAAGGGCTGCTCCCGTCCTGCAAGGGCTCTGCTTCCCTATTTTCTGTTACTTAGGGTTTTAAATGGACTGAGAACCCAGGAGAGGAGGTGCTGGACAGACCCAGCTGGCACCAAAGGTCCACAGGGGACTGTCACCCCACACATGGCCCTGACCCAGACACACATATTTGTTTGCTGCCACCATCACCTTCAGCCTACTAGATCACCCCACCTCTTGCACACTCCAAACCCCAAAACTTCATCTCCTTCACTCCAGGCTGGGTCCAACCTCGCAAGGGAGATGCTCCTGCTGGTGCCACCACACCGAGCCCTGGCAACACTCCCCCCCCACACCCCAAGCTGCCTTAATCCATGGCCCTGCTTAGGGGTCTGGGCAAAGATTAGCTGGAAACATTCCCAGTGATTAGGGTTTAAATCCCTTTGACATTTCACATCTTCTTAGAGCTTGTAGGTGAGACCCTGGCAGCTGCAAATCCCCTCGGTCCTCGAGGGAGTGACAGCTCCTGCGCCGCTCAGGAACGAGCTTTACCCAGTTCTTGGTGTTAACCCAAGCTGCTTTGGGCAGTAAATCTCCTGCTGGAAAGGGAATGACTCTAAATCGTAAAATTGGCAGGACAGCACTGTGTATCTGCTGTCTGAGTCCCTTGTGCCACTTGGAAAGGAGCAGCCACAGCAGCTGGAGCAAAGCAAACGTTATTCCATCTATAAAAACCTCACACAACACCCTGAAGATAAGCCTGGCTGGCATTTAGGCACCAATTTATTTGAGTTTTATGGTTTTTTCCAAACTGGATGCTTGGCCGACAGCAGAAACTACAAAAATTATGTTGTACATTCACAGATACATATAGAAAAGGAGGTAAATAAATACATATACACAAACACCAACAACCCCTGAGGTTCAACACATGCACTTGGTGGGAGCTAAAATCAAATACAGGGTGAAATCTGGGCTTTGTTTGATTTACAGACTCTCTGCCCCCAGCCAGGAGGGTTTTTAGCATTTCACAGTGCTCTGGCTGTTGCTCAGGTTTTCCTTCGAGGATTTTAAATCCAGGGCTCAGAAGTTCACCCCACATCCAGGTCACCATCAGGGATTGTCCTCCCACCAGTAAATCTTCATCCTTGGGTTCCCAGGCACCACAGGCCCTTCACAGCAGCTGATGTCAGTCTGGGCTGTCACAGTGGTCTGTCCTGAGCTTTTCTCTGTTCTGCTGAGACAGAAGAAACGTTCATAAAATCGTGGAATCATGGAATGCTTTGGGTTGGAAGGGACTTTAAAGCTCATCTTGTTCCACCCCTTGCCATGGGCAGGGACACCTTCCACTAGCCCAGGTTGCTCCTAACCCTGTCCAACCTGGGCACTTCCAGGGATGGGGCAGCCACAGCTTCTCTGGGCAACCTGTGCCAGGGCCTCCCCACCCTCACAGGGAAGGATTCCTTCCCAATATCCTACCTAACCATGACCTCTGGCAATGGGAAGTCATTCCCCCTTGTCCTGTCACTCCAGACCCTTGTCCCAAGTCCCTCTCCAGCTCTCCTGGAGCCCCTTTCAGCACTGGAAGGAGCTGTAAGTTCTCCCTGAAGCCTTCCCTTCTCCAGGCTGAACACCCCCAGCTCTCCCAGTCTGGCTCCAGAGCAGAGGGGCTCATGGAATCCCAGAATGTCTGGGTTGAGAAGAGACCTTAAAGCTCATCCAGTTCCACCCCCTGCCTTGTGCAGGGACAGCTTCCACTAGTCCAGGTTGCTCCAAACCCCGTCCAACCTGGCCTTGGACACTTCCAGGGATGGAGCAGCCACAGCTTCCCTGGGCACTTGCCCTGACTCGCTTCTGGAGGCTCAGCCCCGGGCTCATCCTCCTCCTCACCTGGAGAATTTTGCCGTAGGGCGCAAACGAATCCTCCAGGTACCGTGTGCCGAAGCCCATGATCCTGTTCACTGCC